ATTTTAATATTCCTAAAGGAATCGACCTATGAGAAACATTTGCATGAACAGATTTTATATTACACTTATTGAGAAGAATCGAATCCAAACAAAGGATTTGGGGTATTTTGCTTCATTGATTGGAATTTTTCATTTAATTTAGTAATATTAGTCCTTTGGCGGCTTGCCTTTGCAGGTGGATTCTTTATCAAATTTGTGGATCAATTGTGAATGGGCTGTGTAGGTCAAAAAATAAGGAAGGGTAAAAGTAAAACTAATACAGAATCAAAATTTGTTTTGCGCATGCGCAATCCGATTTTCTTATTTATTAAGATATTTAGATGAAATTTTGTATGTAGACACCCCGAATAAACGTAGTTCTAGTGTTCACACATTCAAATGGTGCCTTTATTCAAGAAGTCCCGCCAAGGGCGCGATCCTCCGTTCAAAAACTCAACGGTAGGTAACCAAGATGCCGCGGACGGCATTCATTGAACCTTGCGACGTTCCGTTCTGAATGAGGTCTGTAATGGGAGAGATCGGTTTCCAGGCTTTTTCATTTATATCAATTATACCCAACATTACGATATAAGTAACAAATCCACAGTTATTTTAAAAAAATGCAATTCTAAAAGTTTTATTAAGTACACAATTCGCTAAAATATAGACCTTTGGATGTTTTATCAATACTATTGAAATGCATGATGATTCATGAATGAAATTAATGGGAGTGTTGCAACCATAACACACCTATTTAAAATTTAAATTCTTATCTAATTAAATGGCTCCATTAATCAGCTATAGGTATAATAACCACCATCAATAGTAGTCAATAACAATTAAGTTTTAAAAGCATTTCCTTTATCAAACGGTAGGCATCTACTAGTGCTTTGTGAAAATCTTCACAGACACGCAATCGTGTAATCAGAATGAAATTAATTACCTTCAATCTTCACTATAACTATATTGAATATGGCCAAATCACCATAATTAAAATGAAGTAGGTAGTGCTTCTTGAGCATACTCTGTAATGGCCAGACGATTTTTGTTAATTATACAAGCCTAATCCTTACCTCGCTTTGATTAGTCTTAAATGGAGATAAATTTTGTATACAACCTTAACCTACATTTTTTACAAGTTAGAATTTATGCGTCTTTTCATTAAATACGCAAGCAGTCTCATGTAGGTACTGCATATAATAAATATCGAAATTTTATAACGTTACTTTCTAGCAGTAGAAACTTGAATGACAATTATTGATATTTATTTCATGAAACTGCTCCCATTTCGTTTGATTATTTACTTTAATGTTGGCCAAAATTATAGCCTCTCGTCTATCTTTCCATATTTGTCCATTCTTTATCCATGCTCTAAATTGAGGAAATTCTCTATGCTTGGTTTGTCATACATATCCTAAATTCATAATGAGAAATTAATAACATGTAGGTATACTTGTATTTCCTTACTCCTGTCGCCTAGGGTACATTTTCTGCAGATAACTGTGATCAATTTTTAGAAGTCAGTGAAAGTAAGTATAATCATAACCTTTGATAAAGGGACATCTTTTTCAAATAACTATTCAGTCACCATAAATCAATCTGATCGGCAAACTCTTTGCATGTAGTTAGGCAAATTGTCGTACAGCCTAGCACGTCGGTGCATTTCTTTATTGTATCACAGATACAACAGCTAAACTGTGGGTTCAGTACTTCAAGATGGTAACCTTTGCAAAAGTATACTCGTACCTTCACTTGCAACGTGCCCCTGTCGAAAGGCAGAACCTAAATACAGCAGGCGTGCTCCCAACGCCCTTGTTGAGGAAGAAGTATTTATTACCCCTCGACCATTGGAGGAAGAAGAGGATCTCAGCAGTGAATTGATGGAGGAGATGGAAGATGACCCAGAAGATGATGGCATAGAGCACGATGAGGGTTCAACCGTATCAAAGAGGCCGAGAAACACTTATTAGGATAGTCCCAAAGTGTTTTTTGCATTTGACATATAAAAGTACCTATGGTTAAAGTTGGTGAAATTCTTTGAACTCGCCATGAAATTCATAAATTGATCGAGATTTAAAGTTGAGAGAGTAAGTCAACGTAAATTTATCGCTCTTTAATTGGCTCGTTGTTTAGGAGTTATTAGCAAAAAACGGAAGCAACTTGAAAAATTTCGAAGTTTTTGGGGCACCAAAACTTATGCTCAATCCATGGAGGGGTACAAACTCGGATGACTCGTTTTCAAGACAATCTTATGGTCTGCATTGTAATTAGTTTGATAGCAGAGTATATATGGTGGTCCAAGTACAAGCTTGATAAAAATTTACATTTTTAATTTAGCCATCATTTTATTTCTGCGTATTTTAATTCTATAACGTGTTGACTTCATAATGAGTTCCGGAAGTCGTTGGCTCCAACTCCAACTGCTCAAAATATAGTTTTTTTCGAGAGATTCGGGTTTTGACTAAAAAAGAGTAACTACATCGATTGCTGCGAGTGTTGTGAAGCCAAGTCATAGAAATTTCTACGGGTCGTAGGATAATAAATTCAGTTCAGAACCAACTTGTTATTTCACGTATTTCTTGAAACGAACAGTTCCACGCGAGTTTCATGATTTTTACAGTTTAAGAACCCAACCCCTGAAAGCGAATTAATTTAAACGTGTCAGTTTTATCCACGCCAAAGAAAAGGATTATTGTGTAAGAGCTATTGCATAAAATTAGACAGACGTAACGTGTTCGAGTAAGGACACATTGATTAAACGTGTTGGGTGTTTCCGTTGAAACAAAGTAGTATTGTTGACGTTATGAGGATAAAGTGCCCGAAAAAGACACGAATTAAAATAGAGTATATAAATTTGTTTTTGCGCGATCGGTCATTTCTACGGAAGCGCTGAAGGGTCATCACAAGTTTTTTTTTAAGTCAAATATTTAAGATATAAAGTCAAACGTTTAAGATAAAAAGTCAAACGTTTAAGATAAAAAGTCAAACGTTTAAGATAAAAAGTCAAACGTTTGAGATAAGTTCAACTCATCGTCTTTAGTTGTAGCATTTAAACAATGGTTGTAGGTACCTTCATTTCAGTATCGTGTATTCGGCATGCGTGATGCGTGTTAGTGACAAACATGGAACAGTTACATGAAGCAATTATTATTTTATTTCATTTGGGCTTTAAACAAGATGAAATGTTACTATTTCTCTTGAACGAAGGTTTTTGTTTAAGTAAATCTTCTTTAAAGAGACGTTTGAAACGTTTAAACTTATACCGCCGGAAAATCTATAGTTCCATGGATGATGTAATAGCGTTTTTGGAATCGCAACTTTTACTTTCCGGAAGGCTACATGGATACAAATGGATGCACTTAAAGTGTCTCCATTCTGGAATTAACGTCAAACAAGGAACAGTTCGTCTGGTGTATCTTTGAGGCGTAAAAGAAGATTGGACAGAAGACAATACGTTAACAAGGGACCAAACTATCTCTGACATATAGATGGATACGATAAGTTAAAACCATTTGGAATTTGTATTAGCGGTTGTATACAGGGTGATTCCTATAGTACCTGCCACCGTTTGGGAGCGTGTAGGTGGTGCGTAGGGGAGTATTTTGATATAGGACACTTGGGGTCGGAAATCTAAAATAAGGGTGCCAGAGCCAAATTTACCTTCTGGAATTTCGCGCCTGTAGGTAGGCAACCCAACCGGCCGGCGGTGCACACGGAGCGATCTCAGGCGGCGATGTGTGGCTGACACTTGATCAGAATTTTGTTTAAACCCACGAAATCCCGTCTGCAACGACGCTTATCAAGTGAATAAACACTATGGCAATAGTATAATAATAGTTGGCTAGATGTAGGAAGTGCATTGAGAACAACGGTGGCCACGTTGAACACTTGTAAACGTTATTGCTTTTGACTGTCGTTTTCCCTCCTTCCCTCCCATGTCGCTTCCTCGCGCTAACTCGCTCTGCATCGCTCCGCGCGAAACGTCGGTCGGTTGGGTTGCCTACATACAGGCGTGAAATTCCAGAAGATAAATTTGGTTCTGGCGCCCTTATTTTAGATTTCCGACCCCAAGTGTCCTATATCAAAATACTCCCCTAGGCACCCCCTATACGCTCCCAAACGGTGGCAGGTACTATAGGAATCACCCTGTAGACTGTTATTCCCGAAAAATTATGTGGCTAAAAGCCTCCCATACCAACAACAATCCGAGGGTGATCGCAGGATATTTTATTGATACGGTACGAGACCTTAACGGTGTTCCTCGTACTGTAAGGGCAGACATGGGTACAGAGAATAAATTTGTGGAAGCTATGCAAATTTACCTCAATGAAAATGGTGTAATTGATGGTGCTGCGGATGATAATATTATGACGCCAGCCTTTCTTTATGGAACGAGCCACGCGAACCAAAGGATCGAATCTTGGTGGTCTATACTAAGAAAACATTGTAGCCAGTACTGGATGAATTTGTTTTCGCAGTTGAGAAACGAAGGACAGTTCACGGGTAATTTTGTGGACAAATCTATTTTGCAGTACTGCTTTATGGACCTTATTCAAGTAAGTAGGTAGTTTGTTTTCAGCTTGTTTCTTTATATAGTTCTAGGAAGAATTGAACAGTGTTGCTTTGGAATGGAATAGTCATCTCATCCGCAGAAACCGGCGTAGCATTTGTCCTCCCGGACGACCGGATGTGCTCTTTAATTTCCCAGAAATACACGATGCTAGAGATTACCTAATACAAATTCGAGAACAAAACTTACAAATTTGTGAACAAGAATGTCTTTTTCCGGATTGCCCATGCATTGACAAAGACATACACGATTTGTGCGAAATTTTGTCAGTGGAGCTTAGTATTTCGAAACCTGTGGATCCAATAGATGGACTCGGGAAATACGTACAACTACGCCACGAAATTTTGTCATTACTGTAGTACTTGCAGCTTTCTTATAATAAATGAGTTAATACTGTCTGTTTATTATTTTAAACATAAAAAATAAATACATATTCTAAACCAAAAAACAAAATCTTTATAAGTAGAACACGTCTACGCTAGGGTATGTATAATTATAAATTCTACTTGGTCTAAATTTTAAATATCAATAAGTGCACATAAATGTTATATTATGCAAAACCAAAGCTTTTGCAATTTCCTATAGCAAAATTCATGTTTTCTTTAAATTGTTCGTATGTTGAATGGCAGGTGGGTAGTTTAAATTCAAGACCACATGTGTTTGCCATGGGAAATGACCTTGAATCTTCACCATGTAAAAATTGAATTGTAGGTTTAACTGGAAATCCTAAAGGGGGAAGCACATCTGCTCCAGTAGCAAAGATTAAAACATCAGTTAGTGTAACTGACCGCTGCTCATCCAGCTCTCTATCTTGACATTCTTCATTTTGTATTGTTTCATCTTCTGCAATAGTATAACTTGTGTTAGATACATCGCAGGTAAATGTGTTTTATAAGCTTACCCTCACAGTCTGCCAGAAAATCTCTAAAATATGACATCGCCCGATTTTCTAGTAATCGTTTATTTGAACCTACTTCGCTATATTGCATAACGAACGTACATTCCAAACTGTCGGCCGTCAGTCGTGATTTCTCTTGGCAAAATAGGTTTTCGAATAGATGGGGATATAACCGAATTTGTTCATAAAGGCCGCAAATACTCAACCCTTCAATTAACTGATTCAAGGGATTTTCTATGCGTTTAATGGCATAGAACTTTACGGTATCTGGAAGATTAAATTTACTGTAAGTTACATACATAATTTTAGAAATGTTTTACCTGTTATAATTGTATGTTTTTCATTCATATTGGAAATGAACTGACAGCCAGCAATAGAAAATATATTTTCTGATATCAGCATCTCTTGTAAATCAGAGAGGATTTCCAACTCTTGTAATTTAACTATTGCAGTACGAATGTCTTCGTCTACGTCGTCTAAAGTAGGTACAGTATTTTCGTGGCCATAAGCTAGTAACGAAAATAATGTTTGCGAAAAAAAATGTGGACCAGGGCCGCCATGTACCAGAGATAAAGCAATAATTTTTCCAGCTTCAACATATAGATTATCTTGAATACATCGGTTATTAAGAGTAATATGCTTTTTGTTCTTCCCAGTAAATAATTCACTATTTTTCAGGTATTCCAGCACTAGGCGGAACATTTCCCTGCTTGGTCCACCTGCATCTATTGCCCCTTCAGCATTTCCCTCATAATCGCTGAACTTGACCGATATTTTATGTAAAGGATTAAATGTTTTACGCCGCATAGCGCGCACGCAGCAATTAAAAATATCGCTCCGAAAGACGTTAAACTTGTTAATCTTATCAATCGTTATTTTTTGTTGCAAACTTTTCAATATATCTATAACTGAGATGTCGGAACTTTGGTTATTGTTTAATTCAATTCTTGCTGCTGACAGAACAGGCACGTTATAACTTTCTTGGATAACACTGTCTATCAGCTCATTTAGGCTTTATTGGCTATTGTCATTTTCTGAAATAAAAAAATAACAAACTACCTGAAAATCATAGCGATACACTAGCAATACGATGGAACCAACCATACTTCTAATACTATTACTATACTAGATAGATTCTCTTACCTAAAATCGTATCGAAAGGATATTCTGCAGAGAGTTCCTAAAAGACATATCAAATGGGAGAAATTGTATTTTAATCGTTTACAGTGCTACTTACTTGATTATTTATAGTTTGAACCCCTCCATGAGCTTCATCACTTGCGCCAATTTGAAATTCTATTTCCGTACTTTGGCAATAATCTGTATTCAACGTATCGATATATGAGACCTGAAAGGTATAATTTTCTTAGGTTACGATGTGTCAATTTGAAACTTACTGTCACCGATGACTCGTGTTGTATCTCATCAAGTCCATCTTTGTCATCACGGCACCTTTCGGTAGTAGCTAAATAAAACCGTATGTTTGCCAAACCCGTACTATCCAATAAATTCGCTACTGTAACACGATCATCAATGATATTGTTTTTGAAATCGAGTAGATCAATATCAAAGTTTTCCAACGGCCCTATTGGAGAAGTTCCATCGGGAAAAAATAATTTAATCGCGACTTTTATAATATATTCTTTAGTGGAAATTTTGGGAACTTTTACCTTTCTTGTACCTCCACCACTTTTTTCCCGAATTTGTTTATAACGCGATTCTGCTTCTGCGCGGTTAAGCCAGCCCAAGGAAATCTGTTTATCTTCTCGTTCATGGGGTCCTTTTTTGTGTTTCTTCGCTGCCTTATCCTCTTCCCCTAAACTTTCTTTGCTCCGTAATTTCCTTCTAAGGTTATCTAACAATGTCAGCTTCTTAGACGAGCGTGATTCTTCCGAATTGGTTTTCAATTTTAAAAATTACCTTACAGCAATTCTGTCACCAAATTTGGGTAAAAACTCCTCCAACTGAGAGTCTGTCATGTAGAGAATCACATCGGGTCCTATCTATAACATGCATCAATTAATTGCTTTAAATTTAGCTGTACTAAGAATGCCATTATCCCGTAAAAAAAAATTTTGCTGTGGCTAGCACAGATACCACCCGATTGGCGTACATTATTCCTTGATACGTAAGGATATGGGGTAAAAAGTACCATAACTTAAGGGGGACCCGAAGGGGGGAATCCATCACCAAAAGAGATTTTAAATAGGGTTTTTGCGGGAAAGTTTAGAATGAGAGAGGTAACGGGGGAGGGGGGCAGTGAGATCCAGTAGTCAATGGTGAACCAAAACTTAGCTATGAAAAGCCCCCCCCCCCCTCTCACGTTACCTCCACCATTCTAAACTTTCCCTCCTGACTGACTTAGCCTGTTTACTTACTTATGAAGAACTACAGGCCTGCAAAGAGTGGATAGTATATACAAATATCGAAAATAAGAAGCAATGTATGAATAATCCAAAAACACGAGATTCTTTGATGTGGAAAAGTCGTCCCAAAAGACCAAAAATTGCCCGATATTGAAGGTTGGGTGCTTTTTTAACTCTGCATACTTGGCTGTACAACTTTTCTAAAGGGGGAGGGGGGGGAGATTGGGGAATCTATTTCGTAAATACCCCACTTTGAAATTCAAATTTAAGGGAAATCGATGGACATTGTTCGTTTTTTTGTGTCAAGATCATCATGAAGACGAAAAGAATTTCTTTAATCATTTAAGAAAGAGTAAATCATCATATGGTCAACTGGAAAAACACTGCATGGTCTGCATGATAGCGTAAACAGTCAAGATAACCATCTGTCGATGTTGACTTCCATCGCGCGGTCAGTATGCACCCGCTGCTGATTGCTTAGTACAGATTGCCAAGCCGCCAGGCACGTTGTGGAAGCCGTGTGTACGCGGCGGCGCGCGTAACAGAAACTGGCGTCCTTAAATTAAATTATCTAACAACTTTTTTAGAAAAGTCGCGAAAATGTCTCTTCGTTTGGATACACAAAGACTTTGGCCTATTGCGGAACAGCAAATGATCTAAACTTGAAAGAAAATGTACACTATGTTGCCTTTAATCAGGCGGGAAAATTTTTAAGTTTTCATTTTGTCACCTTAATGCCCTTGATGCATAAATAACTATTATATGGCTTTTGCTTGCTTATAAAGGGTAATAAACTAAACTGAATTCAAACTTTCCGTAGCGTAGGCGTATGTATACATACTTACCTACCTACCAAAACTGCAAACTAAGTGCAATATTATATGAATGAGTTTCTTAACAAGCATTTCAACAAAAACAATTCGTCCTATATATCTAAATGAAACAGTTACCACTCGACACTCGCGCCGTAGTATACCTATACCTACCTGCCATAAATACATGGGTTATTATACATATATTTGTTTCGCAATATTAAATTTAGTAATGTAAAAGTAGTTTTCGATTGCAATGAATTCAAAAATGAAACAATATACAGACTGTTAATTTAAATAACAAAGTTTTGCGAAACTATTGTTTAACAAGACATCCACAATATTTGAAAATAATTGGAAAATGCGAATAAGTTATTTTCTCGCAACCTTTTTCGATAATAATGATAATATCAATGTTGTCATTAATATAGGTATGAATGTACCTTACCTACCTTTTCTCTTGCGATTTTTTGTAAATCCTCTTCTGGAACCCCTCTTTTCCTGAGAAACTCTTCCATATCTTCTAAGTCTTCCATTTCTCACGACACGACAGTCGGCACTGCACTGAATAGGTAGTTAAAACACTTGAACGGCAGAATGGCGACTAACTTGAAACTTACCTTTTATCGCAAACGTTTGACTTTTTATCTTAAACGTTTGACTTTTTATCTTAAACGTTTGACTTTTTATCTTAAACGTTTGACTTTTTATCTTAAACGTTTGACTTTTTATCTTAAACGTTTGACTTTATATCTTAAATATTTGACTTAAAAAAACTTGTGATGACCCTTCAGCGCTTCCGTACATTTCTGACTATTTACCATGGGTGTTTCCATGACAATACATAGAATTTACAACAGTGACTTTATAAGGACAGTGGCGACAACTTATCATAATCCGCCATATTGGAGCTAAAAAATTGATTGTAAGATCAATATACCTTGTCATGTCAAATTGTGAGCGTAGAATAATAAATGTCAGTTTCATTTAAGTAAAGATTCTTGTTCAAAACGAACGGCGCAGAAATGATCGTTTAAAGCTTTGCAGAACAACCTATGGGAAAACAAATGCCTCCCAAATTCAAAAAGGTATGGGTATATGGAAAACGGTATAATAAGTATGAAATATGGTGCAATATCCAAAATGTACATATAAATAATCATTAAATTGTGTTTGACATTTCAGTGTCTTCTGTCACTTCTTGTCCCCTGTCGCGTGTTGCTCCTTCCAGACTTAAAAGTATTTCTTTAGTCTCTTAAATGGAAGACAAAACACGTTGATCTAGTCCACGGAGTACAAGAGATCAATATTCCATGTGCTCCAGCAAACATGAAACCAATTCAAGCGTATTTACGATCACAATTGAATTTGCTGCTAAATTTCGGATAAGCTGCTTCTCTAACCAGTTTTCTATCTAAACTCATTAGGTATTTAGGGCGTCTGAAAAAAATTTTACATCAATTACCAGTCGTAAGGTTAGGCACAGTTTTACATCTAAAAACACTAAGCGGATTACATACCTTATAATATCGTAATAAATCCAAACTATATGCGTCTTTAAAAATCGAGTTTATATAAAACTGGAGACGGAAAACGTAAAATAAAGCAAATACAAGAAGCAAAGTGTAAACTAGTAACATGAAGCCGTGACAATTACAGGTGACACTGTCAAAACAGTATAATTAATAATTATAGCACGGAGTGTACCGCGTCGTTTTGAAGGTTTTCTATTGGCCAGTTTGGAATTTAGCTCCAATATGGCAACCGGAACCAACGACCAATCAAAAACGAGATACCCTGTTGTCGCCACTGTCTCTATAAAGTCACTGTAGAATTTACCAGTTGCTATGATTACGACGACGCCAAAATTACTTACCGATCTAAAAACAGAACAGCAATAGTACATTGATCTACAAGTTTAGAAAAGTGTTAGTTTTCCAGTGAGTGTAAATGTTTGAATTCACGAGTGAGCGCAGCTCACGAGTGGATCAAATTTGCACAAGCATAGAAATTCACTTTTCTTACGTGTAGATCATGCTATTTTTTCGTGTAGTTTATAAAAATACCTCTAATTGTAACGTTTTGTTTTGATGTCGAAGAATAATTTATTATAATATCAAAGTATGTTGAGCATTTGTTGATATGGTAACAAAACATACGAACAAGTAAATAATTTGTGAATACCTAACGCTCATTTAAAATGAGTCAATCAAGCGGGAATAATGAAGACATTTTACAATTAGTATTAGAAGCAGAGTCAAGTTTATTACCCAAAAAGTCCAAAATAAAGTACGAGAAATGTTACCTACAGTTCTGTGACTGGAGAAACATAAAAAATGTGCAAGGAGCAAATGAAGATAGGTATTCTAATTGCGTACTTTATTGGAAAGGTTTGTATTACTCGTATTTATTTATTTATTAGCACTGATTTTTAAATATTCTTAAGGTAAGTTCATAGCTCTCCGTTCATACGTTTCCGTTTGTCCGTTAGCCAATCAGAAGACAGCAAATTTTTAAATCGTACGTCGTCCGTTTACGACGGAAAAGTTGGTTGAAGTTGAACATTTACGTTTCCGTTGGTCCGTTTTTAACAAGAGTGAGTTTATGTTTGGTATGTTAACAGCTTTCGCCTATTCGTTCTTCACGGTAATAATCAGATAGCAATGTGTTCTTACTTTCGTACCATTTTCACATACTGAAAATCACGGAGGGTACAGTACAAAATAAAGTTTAGGTTATGATTATACTTGCAAATGTACAATGTGGACGGATTGCTATGAACCTTAACAAAATGTACTATCCGTTTGACGGATCAACGCAACGGATGAACGGAGAGCTATGAACCCACCTTTAGGCATAGAAACTTAAAGCTTCTACACTATGGTCATAATACTCGATGCTGAGAAGTACTCTACAAATAAATGAAAATGTGGATATTTCTGTTTATAAAAAATTACTTGCTTACCTGAAACGTCAAAATGACGGTTATGCGGCAAAAAATCGAGAGTTCTATCGATGGATAACGTAAAGGAGTTTTTAGAAAAGTC